CAGGGGCAGAGCCGGGGTCCGCCAGCACCCCCCCCAACCCCCCGTGGGCGGCCCCTTCACTCCCTTCGCCTTCCCTTCTGTCCTAGGCTCCTTCAATGGCGCCTTGTCCACCGTTCCCGTCCATGACCTGGGCTCAACTGTCATCAAGGAAGTCCTGAAGCGGGCCGCTGTGGCCCCCGAAGAGGTGTCGGAGGTCGTTTTTGGACACGTTTTGGCAGCAGGTACCTTCTCGGTGACGCCCAAACAGGGTCATGCTTATAGAAGCAGTCCGTCAACCACCCCACCCACACACACAAACTTGTGTTCTGGCCTCCATCGCCCCTCCCCTCTGCCGAGTCCCCGGAATAGCTTCTCTCCTCCGTGTATTAGTCCTGAACCCTGAAGGAGCCTAGACCACCACCCTCCCCTGCCTTTTCATTCTGAAGAAGCAGGGCCAGCCTGGCACGTGGGAGAGCATGCACGACCCTCCGTATTTCCCTACAGTGTCACACATTCAATAAAAATGCATCGAATTCCTCTTTGGTGCACTACACTGTGCTGGGTGCTGGGAATAGGGCTCCAGCAGGGCAGGTAAGTCCTCACCCCCATGATCTCACTTCTGAGCTGGGAAGACAGGTTGGCTTCACACTGCTCACAGGCAGGTGAGTCACTCCTGGGATGGGCACAGGTAGTCACCAGAGGGCTCCATTCTTCTGATTCCCACCCAGCAATCCCTGCCAGTGCCTAGTGAGTAACTATAACTAGTCTCCTGCTGAGTATAAACTCCAGTTATTCATAGTGATAACTGGTAATGCTCACTAACAACCAACTTTTGTCCTTACCCCTTCTTAGACCTGATCCATTTTTCTGTGTATTTACTTTGTAGTTTTGTAGTTACTCTTCCCAATTCTCCTTTCTCCCCCCTTGCCCCTATGGGCCTTCAGATCGAAGCACACTGATTTCTCATGACTGCAAGGCTTTAAATATCTGAGCCCTGCCTCTGACTGGCTACCTTCAGTCACTCTCCCCTTCCTCCTTCCCACACTCGTGACTCAGACTTACTCAGTTGCTATAGGGTTTCAACTATTGGTTTTTCTCTTTATCTCTCTCTTTTTTTTTTTTTTAAATATTTTATTGATTTTTTACAGAGAAGAAGGGAG